CCCAAAATTGACCCAACAAGGAATTGGGATGGACCCATGAGAAATGGTAGTCTTAATTAACGGGTTAAATCTCGAGAGAGTAATTACCCTACTTGAACCCTAGTTGCTTGGTCTAATTGGCCTACTCAATTGGTCTCGAGAGAGTCAATTGGGCAAAATAACTCTCTCTACCGAGAGGTGTGAGAGTGGGTACAATTGTGCAACGGTTATAGCATAAGCCCCAAATATGTCAATCTACCCTTAGTAACATCTACCCGTTAATTAGCCACCTAGGCAATGCCATGACCCTAGTGCCTTTCTCTATATTAAATACAACTTAGCAATATTCTCGTAGCATAATTTAGTTTTAATCATTAGTTTTATAATAGTAGTTATAAGAATCAAAGAAAACCAAAAATGTTTTAAGTGACATTAGAAGCACAACCGCATCTCTAGACTAGACAGATAATACAACTCCATTACTAGCTCCCTGTGGAAATTCGATCCTGAACCACTATTCGGGTAAAAGCTATTGCGACCCGCTCTTCCTACCTTAGTGTAGCATCGAGTCGGCAGCGATCAAGGGGCAAAAATATTATTGAAGAGGGCAATGACTCAGCTTCCGAAGTTGACGTGGACGACCTGAGGATGATCTACCAGGGTCTTACTTAGCTCGAGGTGAGGTTAGAGGGGGGTTCGAGGACTATCACGATCCATATGGATCGTGACTTGTTGGTGGACACTGAGGAGGTAGTCCCTACCCTTGGTCCTCTATTCTAATGTTGAGGGTAAGACCCTTAAGGAGATAAAGGATAGCGCCTTGTCGAGGAGCATTGATGGCCTCGCTCTTAGGGTGAGTATTTGTTAAATACACTTTTCCAAAATTTTAGAGCATTCCAGGTTCTGACCTTTTTCTCTTTCTTTTTTTTGTTTTGCAGATGATGATTCTGGAATTTGAGAGCCGCAAAGGGTGAAAATACGCAAAGAGATCTTCGTGAAGCTGGAAAATAAATACAGTGAGTACCGCGACAAGTATCAGGATCTATGAAATTTGCTTCGCGTGGGCGACGATGTGCGGGCCCTGAGGGAAGATTTGAAAAAAGTAACGAGGAGCTGGTGCATTCCATAGAGAAATGCATCGTCCTCGAGGGGACGTTGAGAAGTAAGAAGGAAGAGCTTGAGGGTGTAGAGGCCCAATGCAGTGATCTCCAAGCCCATGTAGTTGAATTGCGAGGGAAACTTAAAGAGTGCCAGTTTTAGTTGGAAGCACTCAGCGGCGAGATCGCCGAGAAATAAGAGGAACTTGAGAAGGCGGAGTCCTCCCGTTTGGATGCTCGAAGGAAGGCGGAGATGTTCGAGTTGGAAAATAAGACTTGAGGAGAGGATTGGGGAGTTGGAAAAGGACAACTCCGTCCTTCATGACCGAGTGACCGCTCTAGAGACCGAGAAGGCTAAACTACTTGCACAATCGTCCTCTTCCAACGCTTCTAATTTCCCTAGTGTACCTCTGGAGTTATATGAAGAGTGAATCCATGACGAGGCCCAGTTAGATGTGTTTCGGGACTTGCACGCAGCGGGCTCCGTTTCTGAGGCCGCTGATAAGTGTGGATTTTAACTACTTATTAGTACCTTCTTGCTTTAGTTTTAGTCCGAAAGTATTGATTTTTGTTCTCAAAACTAATGAAAGTGTGCAAATTGCAGAAAAATGAAGAAATCTAACGCAAACAGGAGTGTTATGGCTCACGAGGCAAGAAGGAGCACATCAAGCTAAAAGTGAGGCCTGCAAAAGTATTTCTACGGGCGCAGAAGAAAGCGCAAACCGCAAAATTCTCTGCGGCCGTAGATCTGGTGTTGAAGCTCAGAAGTTGATTGAAGAAAAGCGCGGACCGCACACAATTTATGCGGCCGCAAAATATGGTCGCACTGACAAGAATTAAAAAAACTCAGACTGTGTGCAAAACAACCAAGAGTCAAACCTTGCCAGAAGTGCAGATCCCACATGGAATTATGCGGCCGCAGATGTTGAAGTGCAGCCGCAGTTCAAATTGTGCCGCTGCAAAATTTGCCAACCTGCAAACTCGAGCAAAGTGCGGACCGCTTATGGAATTGTGCGGCCACAGAACTTCTTGAAGGGTATTTTTGTCAGTGAATTTTGGGCCAATATAAACATACTAGAATCACTTTTTAGGTCAAGTTTTGTTTTTAGTAGCTGTAGCCATTGTAGTTTACCACTTTTGATAATTTGTGACCAATTTGGTTTAAAAACACATTAGTTTAACATTTTAATTTTGTAATATGGCTTTAATTAGTGTTTCTTCTTTATTTTCTTTCATTTCTACTACGAGTAGCTAGATATTTTCTAGAGTTGTCACCCAACTCTAGTGTGTAAACCTTATGGGTAATTAATCTAATACTTATTTATGATTGAGTGTTTGTTATTTAGCCTTGTTCATGCTTTAATATTAGAATTAATGGTTGCAAATATTGATTCATTCCTTTTTGACTTGGTATTTACTTGAGAAAGAGAGACATGGTCTAGGAAAACATGGCTAACAAGAAATTGGGCTAGTTAAGGCTCTGACTAGCCTAATTAAAGGGTTTGAATTGGAGATAGGTGAAACCGACTTGAGCTCATATCAACTATTTAGCTTGATAACCATTTGGGCTTGAGAAAGCCAAATTGGGCAAAATCACTATATGACCAAGAGCTACTAAGTGGGTAACTTAGAGTTGAGAGCTATAATACATCCCAATTACTAAAATAAGTATTAATGTAACTAACCCATTAGGCTAACACCTAGGCGAAGGTTACATCCCTAGGCCTACCTATTTGAAAACAACAAAAAATAATTAATCAATCTCTAGTTTTATTTCTCTGGTTAATAATTGTTAGTATAGTTTGTCGAAGTAATTTGCAAAACCATCTTGTTTGAAAGCGCATTTAAGCTATTTCTTCTACACTCATCAAGTGTACACTCTAACACCTACACTTAGCTCCATGAGAAAATCGATCCCGACTCGTAGTTGGGTACTATTCTTCAAACGACCTCTTCTACTCATTGTTGAGTGTGGTTGGGAGTGGATCAGCTGCCCTTGAGGATGCCCAGGTTAAGACTCGTGAAGCTCGGGTCGCTTGTGGATATGACCGCGCCATGCCTCGACCTAAAGAGGAGGATGGGGAAGAGGGCGTAGATCGGCTCGAGGATGACTGATATGATGTAATTTACCCTCAAGGAGAAGGTGGCGAGTATGCTGGGGACCAAGGTGATGAGGTCGCAGAAGGTCGTGATGGCGAGGATCAGTAGTCTTTTTTTAGACTTTTTTGTGTATTTTTACCGGTGTGTTTATGAGACTTTGTAAGAAACTTTTGTTTATAAATATCAAAGCTTGTTTTTTCTTTCATTTGTGCCTTTCATATTTGCCATGATTTTTTTCTGTACTTTGCGTGTTATGCTCCTTCATACTTTTATTGTCACCATGATTTGGGTTGAATAGCTATGGGCTAGATCAACCTATTGTCTGTACGGATCAAGTATGTTTGAGGATCGATCGGTTAGGTTTTGACTTGGTCGGACTTAGCTTCTCCTTTGGTTAAGTTTAGCCTTTTACTGAAACATGGCCGAGGGCCGATATCATTTGAACTTGGTCAAATTTTAACCTCTTGTTAAATCGCAGCCGACGGCCGGTAGGTGTTGTTTGAATTTGGTTAAATTTTAACCTTTTGTGAAATGTTACGGCCACAAAGGTGTTGTTCAAGCTGGGTCGAACTTGACCCCTTATTTTTAAGGTGTGGCCGAGGACCGATAGGTATTATTCGCGCTGGGTCAAATTTTAAGCTTTGTTAATGTGGTGCCGAGGGTCGATAGTGTTGTTCACATTGGGTCTCACTTAACCTTTATTAATGTGCGGTCGAGGGCCGATAGGTGTAGTTTGTGTTGGGTCAAACTTAACCTTTGTTATTAGGTGTTGTTCGCGCTGGGTCGAACTTAACCTTCGTTAATATGCGGCCGAGGGCCGACAGGTGTTGTTCGCACTACGTCGAACTTAACCTTTTATTGATGTGGTGCGGCCGAGGGCCGACAAGTGTTGTTCGAGCTGGGTCAAACTTAACCATTTTTTAAGGTGTGGCGGAGGGCCGATAGGTGTTGTTCGTGCTGGGTTGAACTTAAACCTTTGTTAATGCGCGACCGAGGAAGGATAGGTGCTGTTCATGCTGGGTCGAACCTAACCTTTGTTAATGTGCAGTTGAGGGATGATAGGTGTTGTTCGCGACGGGTCGAACTTAACCTTTGTTAATAGGTGTTGCTCGCGCTGGGTCGAACTTAACCTTCGTTAATGTGAGGCGAGGGCCATAGGTGTTGTTCGCACTGGGTTGAACTTAGCCATTTATTGATATTACGCGGTCGTGGGCCTATAAGTGTTGTTCCATCAGGGTCGAACTTAACCGTAAGTTTCTTATTGCTTTGATGTTGTTGCTCTGATTACATGATTGGAGAAAGTTACAAATTTTGGACATTGGCTGGCGTTTTAATCCCAGTCCTACTCTATCTAGTCCCTTCATTGTTTGACTTGGATAGTATTAAGGAGTCGGGCATGAAAGAGAAAAATGGCCCTTGCGTCGCATACTTTGACTCGAAGTGTCTGTTTTGTCGCCTCGTTAAAAACCTCCTTGAGAAGACCCTAACGGGACAAAACTTAAGTAAGGAAAAAACAGTACGACTTGGGGGCTCCTCTTCCTTTTAGAATTTGATGTATTTGAGGTGGCTGATGTTCCAATTGTTCGGTAATTGTTTTCCTTCCATCGTCTCTAATTAGAATGAACCCTTGTTTGCTTTGGCTGTTATTTTGTACATGCCGTCCCAGTTTGTTCCCAATTTTCCTTCCCGTGCGTCTTCGCTTGCTTGAGTTTTGGCTTTGAGTGTGTAGTCGCCGACTTTGAGCGGCCAAACCTTTGCTTTCTTGTTGTAGTAACGTTCTGCTTGCTACTTTTGGGCGACCATCCTTATGTATGCCATATTTCTTCATTTGTCGATCTCATCGAGTTCCTGCCTTCTACTCTCATCATTATTAGTACTGCTTTTGTGGGAGTAACTTCGGCTGGGTTCTCTGATTTCGACTGGTATGGTTGCTTCGGTCCCATAGACCAGAGAGTAGGGTGTCTCTCTTGTTCTTGTCTTCGGGGTGGTTCTATATGCCCATAATACTTCTAGGAGTATCTTCGGCCATAGTCCCTTGGCGTCTTCAATCTTCTTCTTCATGATGAATAATATGGACTTGTTGGAGGATTCTGCTTGCCCGTTACCTGCCAGGTGATACGAAGTTGAGAGTATCCTCTTAATGTGTAATTTCTCGAAGAATTTGGAAGTTTTCTTTCCCGTGAATTGGGGTCCATTGTCACAGCTGATCTCCTTGGGTAGGCCGAATCGACAAATGATGTTTCTCCATATAAAGATGATTACCTCTTGTTCGCATATTTGGGAAAATGCTCCTGCTTCCACCTATTTAGAGAAATAGTCAGTTAAAACAAAGAAAATAGTACCTTAACTCTCCATACTGGGAGGGGACCCACAATGTCTGTTCCCTACTTGATGAACGGCCACGGAGAGGTGACTGAGTGGAGATGTTTGCCTCCTTGGTGAATTATTGGGGCATATTTCTGACATTGTTCGCATTTCTTCATGAATTCTGAGGCATCCTTCTTGATGGTGGGCCAATAGTATCCTGCCTGTATGAGACACCTAACGAGTGCTCCATTGCCGGAGTGAGCGCCGCAATAGCCCTCATGGACTTCTTCGAAGACGCGTTGGGTTTGGCTTGGGCCCAAACATTTTGCTAGAGGGTCGTCGTATGTCCTCTTGTATAGGTCACTATGGAGGAGATTGTATCTGGCCGCTTGTATTCTTAGTTTTTGGCTTCTTTTTTGTGATTTGTGAGTGTGTCGTCCTGCAAGTAGGTGATAATACGATTGTGCCAATCCCAAGTTATGCTTACAGATCTTACCTTGATTTGGTTTAGCGATGAGTTGAGGAGGTGGACTACACTTTTATCCCCGGTCGCGATGCTTTTGGTGGCTACGGCCAATTTGGCGAGGTCGTCTTCTTCAACATTCTACGTCCACGCGATCTAGTCAAGCTTGCATTTGTCGAACTTGGGACTGCTTACAGATCTTGGTCTGATATTTTTGGAACCTTTGTTCTTTGATTTGGAAAGTCCCTGTGACTTGGTTGATTACGAGCTGGGAATCACAACGGAGTTTTAACTGCTTCGCCTCATAGTTGAATGCTAGCCTCAATCCTAAAATTATGGTTTCATACTCGGCCTCTTTGATGGTCATATCTGGGCATCTTATGGACTGGCAAATTACTTTGCCGATAGGGACCAATCCGGATCCATAAGCATTGGTGCATGGTCGGTGTATAGGACCTAGAGGTCTTGTGTTTGGAGAGAATCTTGGACGGTTTCCTTCTTGACCTTAGCATCATCTTTGCGCTGAAGTCTGTGACAATGTCGGTGAGCACTTGCGACTTTATCAATGTTCGCAGCTGATATGTGATATCATGCTCACTTAGCTCAATGTCCCACTTGGCCAGCCACCTCGATAATTCGGATTTATGTAAAATGGCTCTTAGAGGAAAGGTGGTAACAGCCAATAGGGTGGCATTGGAAATAGGGTCTAAGCTTTCGTGAAGCTACGCAAGTGCCAGGGCTAGTTTCTCGTGGTGTGGGTACCTCATATCGACGTCAACGAGTGTTTTCTAATGTAATAAATGGGAGATTGCATACCTTTACTTTCCCGGATCAAGACTGCACTTACTGCCACTTTAGATACGGCCAGATAGACAAGGAGTTGTTCCCCGAGTTCGGGCTTTGAGAGAAAAGGTGGTGATGACATATACGCCTTCAGTTCTCATAGAGCTTGTACGTACTCGGGCGTCTACTCGAGGCCGTTATGCTTTTTGAGTACGCAAAAAAAATTGTGACATCTGTCAGATGAGCGCGAGATGAATCTCGCTAAGGTGGGGTTCGATTAGTCTAGCTTTGGACTTTCTTCTTGATAGTCAGGAGCTCTGGTATCCCTTCAATAGCTTTGATTTGGTTTGGGATGACCTTGATCCCCCGTTGTGACACTAAGAAGCCCAAGAACGTTCCCAAGGCTACGCCAAACACGCATTTCTCAGGGTTTAGTTTCATTTCATACTGTCTCAATATGTTGAAAGCTTCCTTCAAATGGTCGATATAGTCCTCTGCTTTCACGAATTTGACCGGCATGTCGTCGATGTATACCTCTAAGGTCTTGCCGAGCTGATCTTTGAACATTTTCGTGGCCAATCTTTGATAGGTAGCCCCAACGTTTTTCAACCCAAATGGCATGACTCTATAACAATACATTCCTCAGTGGGTGATGAACGTGGTTTTCTCCTGGTCCTCTCTTCCATAAGCATCTTGTTAAAGCCCGAGTACGCATCTAAAAAACTCAATAGCTTGTGCACGGCTGTTGGCTCGATGAGTTTGTCGATATGTGGTAACGGGAACGAATCCTTCGGGCATACTTTGTTCAACTCCATGAAGTCTACACACATTTGACATTTCCCGTTTTTCTTTTTGAACATCACTACGTTGGCGATCCACTTGGGGTATTTTGACTCCCTAATGGAGCTATGTTCTAATAGTTTCTCCACCTCGTCGTGGACGGCATCGTTGATGGCGTGATTGAACTTTTGTCTGACCTGCCATACCAGGGGTAGAACGGATCGACGTTTAATTTGTGTATGGCTATCTCCTTGGGGATGCCCTACATATCTGCATGGCTGAAGGCAAACAAATCAACATTAGCTATTAAGAATTGAATAAATTTACTTGAATCTCGGAGTTTTCAGCCGATGTAGGCATGTTTGCTGTAGTCACGGGGATCTAATTGAACGGGGTAAAGGTCCTTTATAGTCGAGTCTGCGGCTTCGACCATTTTGGGATCCATGGTGACGTCCGTGGTCTCTTCTTGTGCCGACCTCGGCCCTGTTGATTGTTATGCCTCTTTTTCCTTGTCTTTTTTCTGTTGGTTTGTTGTGCTGTCTAAGGCGATGCGGTAGCATTCCCCGGACATGCGTTGTTCTCCCCGTATGCTGGATCTCTCCTAAGGTGATAGGAATTTGATTACTTGGTATAAGCTGGAGGGGAAGGCTCTCATGGGATGTATCCATGGTCGTCCTACTATGGCATTATATGCGGTGGCCTGGTCCATGATGTGGAATGTCGTCTCTAAAATTATGCTGTCGTCCAAGACGGAGAGCATAATTTCTCCTGATGTCTGTTCAACTGCTATTAAAACCGGTTTGTGTGATGCATCCTGGCCCTATCTTGTCCTCAAGTCTCATCTGGGTGAGGACTCGGGGATGGATAATGCACGCTCCACTCCCATCATCCACCATGATATATTGACATCGGTATCAAAAATGCACATAGTAATGAGGAGAGAATCATTATAAGGGAAAGTCAAACAATCGGCATCTGATTCGTCGAAGATGATACTTTCTTCGAGTCAGTCATACCGTTTGTGGGTGATAGATCTTTTAAGCTTGTGAGTGGGAATTTTATGCCATTGATGGAGACGTCATCGGTACTGCCGATGATCTTGCTGATAGTGCGAGCTGGTGATGGTAGCTTCGGTGGGCCTTGTCATTCACGTCCTCTAGCAAAGTTATTTCTCCCCTTGTCTCTCAACAGCTCTTTGAGGTGTCCTTGCTGCATCATGTTCACAACCTCTTGCCTGAGGCGATGCAATCTTCTGTCTTGTGTCCACACTCCTGGTGGAACTCACAGAGGGCGTTAGATTTTTTGGTGCTCGGATCGGACCTCGTCTTTGGTGGCCACTTCACCTTCGTTCCGAGTTTCTCTAGGGCATAGACAATTTCTATAGGTGACACACAAAAATTGTGAGCAAATAATATGGGGGCATACCTCTCTCGTTCCGATGAGTCCCCGTTCTAGTCCTGGATGGGCTTTCATCACAGCCGAAAGAAGGTGGGGCAGGGTCCCTCACGTATGGCTGATGTCGTTCGCTATTGGGTTATGAGACCGGGTGATCCTTCCTTTTGTTATCTCTTTGTTCTTTCCTGGACTCGGCTTGTATCAAGACGAACCGTCGAGTTGGTCCACTGAGGTCGTCATCATCTGCTCGAACTTCAGCGCAGTAAGCATTGTGGATTTTATCCCAAGTGGTTGAAGGATATTTCATCAACTGACTCAGCAGTTTTCGAGTGGCTCTTTAACCATCTCTACTCAACCCATTCTGAAAAGCCGCAACACTATCCCCTCTGACATGTTTGATAGGGTCATCCTTACCCTGTTGAATCAGGTGAGGAAGTCCCTCAGTCTCCGATCACGTCCAAATGCACGCCTATAAAGAGGTATGACATGGTCGTTTGAAATAATAAAACCCAACAAAGAGTCAGGGTCAAATCCATAGGGAGCTAAGATGGGAGTTAGAAGTATATATTCGGAATAAGCAAGCGAAGTATCTAGATTGCACATCCACAAATAGGTTTTTGTTTCTACTTCTAAAATTAAGCTAATAATATCAAATCTAAATATATAAAACTATGGATGTTTGTTTTTGAGTGTTTTCCAAATATATAAAAGGCATAGGGATGTGACCATGACCTAGGTGTTTTCCTAATGGGATAAAGACTTTTATGCTCGTTTTATTGACTAGGGTTTATTATAGCTCACAACACTATGTTGACCACTCAATACCTCTCGGTCAGAGAGTGGTTTTGCCCAATTTAGCCTTCTCAAGATCAAATGGGTATCTACCAAAATGGTTGATAAGAGCTCAAGTCGGGTTGTTACTATCTCTAGGTTGAACCCTTTAATTGGGTTAATCAATCTCTCAATTTACCCAATTCCTTGTTAGCTAAGTTAACCTAGACTAGGTGCGTCTTTCTCAAGAAGAGACTAAGTCAAATAAGGCATGAATCAATGTTTGCAACCATTAATTCTACAATTAAAGCATGAACTAAGCTAAATAATAAACATTCATTCATAAACAAGCATAAAATAAATCACCCATAAGGTTTATACACTAGGGTTGGGTCACAACCCTAGTAAAAATCTAGCTACTCGTAGTGGAAGTAGAAGAAAATAAAGAAAAAAAAGATAATAAAACTCATATTGAAATATTAAAATAGAGAAATCCAGTGTTAAATCACCAAAATAAGCTAAAGTTTCCTAAAGAAGCAAGGAAATGGCTACAATACTTCAAATATTCAAAACTTGACCTAATTTCATGAAACTCTTCTATTTATACAAGGCTGATAATTTCGAACAAAAATGCCCTTCGAGAGGTTCTGCGGTCGCACAATTCCATGTGCAGTCCTCAGGTTTCTTCATCTTGTTGGGAGGTGGAGGTTTGCAGCTGCACAATTCTTAACGGCGACCATGAGGCAACATTTCTGAGGTCCACAAATTTAGCACTGCGGCTGCAACTTAGTCTTCTGCAGTCCGCACCTTTACTTCTGCAGCCGCAAGGCACTTCTTCTGCGGCCTCACAATTCTTGTGCGGTCCGCAATTCTAAGGAACTTTGAACTTGGGAATTTGCACACTCTCTGAAGTTGATCTCAAGCTCATCTTTTGCGGCCGCACAATCCCTGTGTGGTCCAAGGTTTGCTAGAAAGTCTGTTGGAATTGCCTTAATTGTTTGCGGCCGCAACTGAAATTCTGCGGTCCACACTTTGTATGCTTCTGTGCCCTTTTTATTTCCTTGTGTTTAGATTACTCCTTTTTGAGTCGGATTTCATCTTGGGAGTTCAACTTCCAACATTCCTGCAATTTTGCACATTTCATCAGTTTTGGGAACACAATTTAATGCTTTTAGACTAAAACAGAAGCTAAAAGGCACTAATAAGTAGTCAAAATCCCTACTTATCAACTCCCACCAAACTTAAGTCTTTTCTTGTCCTCAAGCAAAAAAAATAGTTCCCACCTCCAAAAGTTAAAGTTCATTTAAGCCAGTCAAAGGTGAGCCATTCACACATCAGCTGGGACCAATAATTACCCACACTACTTATGTATTATCAACAAGGTGACAAGTTAAGCATTTATGCACATATAGTTCAAATGTAACACTTGAGCATCAAGAGTTGACTTTATTCATCAAGGAAGCTTGCTGTCTCATGTAGGTCATGGTGGATCCCAAACTCCTCCTCCTCTACTCTCCGTTTGCCTAGCTCACTTAACAATTTTTAGCACTCAATCCAAAGATTTGAGAAAGGTTCACTCATCTCTCTCAAGAGAATGTCACAAGTTCGGTTTCCAGTACCATAAGCTTGCCCCTCATGTAGATCAGCACTAATGTAGCTCACTCGGCTCAAAATCAAGTAGGACTTCTTTCGGGATGTAATGAAGGCTTTTGGATTAGGGATTGATACAATATGGATAAGTGGTTACACCTTCATTAAGCACTTCATCTTTCAATTCTCGGCTCACACTTTGCCGATTCCTTGAGTCACTTTCTTTTCCTTGGGGGACTAGAGAGACTTAACATCACTCTTTCTTGATCATTACATTCATATTTCTCCATGTTTGGGATCATGGCCTTTCTTTGAATCCCTTCAACTCTTTCATTTATTCACTTTTTTTTTTTGCATTTCTCTTTTTTTTCTTTTCTTTTTTGCATTTCCTTCTCATCATTTCTTTTCTATTTTTGTGCCTTGATACCTTTTTTTTAAATCAATTTCCTAGTCTCTCCCCGAAACTTACATTTTTAGCCAATTGATTCACATAAGTGCTAAGGAAAGCTCGGGTGTCAAGAAAAGGTCATGATAGAACGGGTAAAGGCTTATTACATGGTTTTCAAATGATAAAGGCTAAAGGCTTGAAGGGGTTGACTATGTATG